CTTCCCTGAAATTTTTTTAAGTATGCTTTCAAATTATTTAGAAATAACAACTTCTTTTAATATACTCAAAAAAAATTTTTTTAGAAAAATGATAAAAAAAACTATAAAATATTTCATTCATCTAAAAGATTGTTTATTTAATTAAAATTCAAAAAAGAATTTCTCAAAAAAGATTTATTTACAAAATTTAAAATTCTTTTCAAATTAACAATTGCTTAAAATTTTGGGCGTGAAAATCACAAATTTATTGTTAAAATGATATTATTATAATTACATTTTTTATTAAAAAACATCAAACCATTCATAATATAATAAAAAATAATTAAAATTTCATTTCAATATTATATAATATAATGTTTTTATTTATTTAAAATAAATCGGGTCGATTCTGTGCTCGGGTCTGTGTGGGGTCGGTGCTCGGGTCGATGGATTTGGTCGACAAGGTCGACCAATTTGGTTTCTTTGGTTTTGATTCATTTTTTCGTCCAAAAACCAGGGTCGTGGTCGTGTAAAACCAACCAATTTACCACACTACCATCGGCTCTTCTGTTGTTGCTTGAACCTAAGTGATTAGGCTCTAGAGTTGCGGGATGTCCTCTTCAGAGCTTTAGAGACTAAATTATTATGGCAGCCTTTGGAATGTCTATAATGCAAAGGATGGTGTCCTTTAGAATTGGGTGGTAAAACAATTAATACATTTAGAAGGAAGCGATATATTACAGCCAAGTCGAAAAATAGCTATACGAAGTTCTTCCATTAATGAAAAGAGACCGAGATTTTTGCTTGGGATAGCTGACAGCCATTCGTAGCCTGGCTCGGAATTCAGAATAACTTGGCTGATTCTAATGAATCACTTGATAAGATATAATCAACAGAATGAGACACCAGGGGGATATCCCATGCTTTCTGAAGAGTGGATGTTGGTCCACTAACGTCAGGTTGACTATTGCTCACCCATATCTGAATAGCGCTTTAGGTCAAGATCAAGACTAGTAGAAATTACACTTGAAATACTTAATTTTGAGGAGATAAAAGGAGCTAGTGATAGGAAAGATGGGGGGGGCGGAAATAAATCTCGCCATTTTTACATGGAAGATAGGCCTGGAGTCACGATTTGTCTGAAAATTTTATATTGACCATACCCTCTTGCATTGTGCTTATATGCAACTCATGTTTGAATAGGATCTTTTTAATGAAAGATTGGGGCTGATTAGGTAATTTTAAAGAGAGAATATATAAATTTACTGAAAATTTTAAAATGTTTTAGATGATATTATTCAAGCATTTCCTATTATAAATATATAGAATATATATTTTGTTATACATTTTTATATTTTAAATTTGAAAAATAAATATTAAACCCTTCACTACAAAGGTGGGGTAAATACGACCCCATGACTTATATCATCTTTGTAATACAAAACCGATTTTGACCAGATTTTTAGTAGTTTAACATTTTATAAAATTTCATGATTGATTTGATAGTTTTTGAGATATTTGCAATTTGTTGAGCTTGGGCTAAAATATATCCCACAACTTACGTTATTTTTTTATTACTAATTATGATTGTATATGGCAGGTTAATATATAAATTGAAAAAAAATATTTATTATATTTTTTGATTGATATATATGACTTTAAATTTGAAAATTTTATATTATTTTTTTACTCATATAAATTGAACATATGATTTATAATTTAATTATTCAAGTTAATAAGCCTTCAAAATATGGCTTAGAATTTATGCCCTTGTTGATTCAAGAACTTTTTACACTTTAAAAATAGAATTATATGCTGTCAATTAGCCTGAAGGACCTTGTAAATTGAGCAATAAGTCATTTGATGTGGTTAAAAGGCTAATTCAACCCATTTCTGACTAATAGGAATGTTATCACAGATAACTAACTTCAGCTATCTAAACATTTTTTAAATTCTCATTCATTAACTATAGTAGGAACCTTGAGAAAAAATAAAATAACTCCATTAATGAGTAATAGATATGAAAATCCTTGTGTTAATAGATTGCTAAGGGATAATATTGGGAATATGCTCAATATAGAGGAACACATTTCTACCAAACAAAAAGGAAGATGTTTCTCTAATCCAAGAGCTAAGGACATAAAAACCCCGTATTTGCACAAATTGTTCAGAGTTTATATGCAAAGATCATTGCATGTAATGTTGTGAATGTTTTTAAAAAAATAAGCATTAATCTTTGATATCAATTATTATTTTTTAATATGTGTTGTTTTATTATAAAATCTATATTTATTGCTATATAATATTGAATCAATAATATATATATATATATTCAAATTTGCTTCCTTTAATTTTTTTTGGACATATAATATGATTAAGAAAGGTTCTAAATTTTTTTTTATTTTTGAGCAACTTAGTAAAAATAATCTAGAAATTTTGGTATTTATTATCTCTAATATTTTTTCAATAATTGTTTAAAATTAAGTCTTAAATTTTATTATTTATTGAGATATAGTTATTTAAAATTTGTGGTAAAATAGACCCCACCGATGTAACTACGGAGTCTTTCCCACCTTTATAGTGAAGAATTAAATAAAGAGTCTTAAGTATTTAATTTTATGCTCAGATAATATGTAATTAGAAGAAAAGCCTTTAAGATATAGTGATCATTGAGAAATAGTGTTTAAACGAACGCGTTAAAAATGAACGCATTCGTGAACGAAGTTCGTTTTTTTGAAAAAAAATGATGAACGGCGTTCCTTTTATTTTTGACGAACTTTGGACGTGAACGCGTTCCTTTTTTATGACGAACGCGTTCGAATTTAACGTTAGTTCAATTTAAAATACTTTTTATTTATATGAAAAATTTAATATTAGTCTTAATCTTTTAAATTTATATTTTTTATTCTGCTGTATTTCCTTTTTCACATTTCAATTTTTAACACGCCATTATTATCGTTTATTTGAATATTATTGTTTATATTTTAATTTAATTGATTAGTATAAGCATGGATATTATTATTTCATTATCATCATCTGATTCTGAAAATCCAAAATCAGATGAATTAATATTACCATGGCCAAATATGATAAATGTTTTACAGTAACATCCTATATTGAAGGAACTAATTCAATGCTTACCAGATGTAAAATGTGCCCAAAAAGTATTAGATCAGTGTCAAAATCTTCAGATTCCAATTTAAAACGGCATTTGATTGTGATATTAATATTTTATTTTATTTGATATAATTAAGTAAAATCATTAAATTAAAAAAAAATGTATGGGCTATTTGACCCCAACAATAACGATAGTTATTTAAAAATTTGTTGCCTCAAATATGGTCAACCATTGATGGACGCAGTATTAAATGGGATTAATGAAAGGTAATTAAACCTATCACTCTCAAATTAATTGCATATATTTTATTTTTTTAAAGATTTGAACATATATATATATATATGAAGGTCAATATATTCTTTCTGCATTATACATCCAGTATACAAGCTTCAATGGCCATGGATAAAACTTCCACAAAACGAACCTATAAAAATAAACATATAGCGTTATTGAAAAAAATGCAATTAAAACCCTAAAAATGATAATGCAAGAACTGTTAATTTCGAGATATTTGTCGAGGAAGTAGAGAATGGATTGGAGGAGGATAACTTATCTCAATTTTTTGAAACAAAGAATAAAACAATGAATGTTTTTAATAAATTCCCCACGTTAAAAGAGTTGTTTATTAAGTATATACTGTAATCCCCTCATCTGCCCATGTAGAGCGCATTTTTAGTATAACTAATGCAGTATTAACTGCCAAGCGTTCCTGTCTATCAGATGAAAATTTTGAAAAATAATAAGAAATTTTTTTTATTCGTTATATTATATTGTATTTATAATTATATTATCAAAATAAAACTATATTATTTTTTAACACGGCTAATATATTATGTTAAAATATACAAGACATTTATTTATATTAGATTAAATTAAATATTTTTTTATCTAAACAGCACGGATATTAAGGTGTAAATATTATTTTGATGATAATTATACAATTATTTTTATATGCCTATACTGTGGAATATTTCGATGTTAGTTTGCTACCCTTAATTAGTTTTACTTAAAAAAATAGCATGGGTATTATTTTATATAAATTAATAAATATTAAACAATGTTGTAATCGAGATAATTTGTAAATTAAATTTTTACTGGCCTTCAAAATGGATTTCTCTTGCGTAAAATGGCTCAAATCTAAGAAAAAGATATTATAATGATTTGTTTAAAAAAGAGTCATTGAAGGGATAGTAAAAAACTTATTTTAAATAAAATAATGTGAGATCCCTCAAAATTAAATTTTATGACTTGCCAGAATCTAAGGCACCCTAAACAACTATCCACTTGAGCATTTATCTGCTATTACCAAATGCCATACAACATTTATTTAAAGGGATGTGATATTTTAATATGGGATTGGCCTAATAATTTACTTTTTTTAACCGAGCGATTGTTATATTTAATTTCACCTATCCTATATATGGCGGATAAAATATTCAAATAATATTTTTTTACTCCTAAAAAATTTTAATAATGATTTTCTTCAATAAATTTACCTGCAAAGAAAAATATATTTAAAAAATATATTAAAGGGTTACCTGAGACTTAAATTTCTTTAAAATGTTTTTAATAATATTTTATTTTGTGTAATATATTTAATATTTTATGATGATCATAATACAATAAAATTTCATTAGGTTAATTAATATTTTAAATCACTTTCTACTGATAAAATAGAAGGGTTCTGGTAAAAAATGTGAAATATTTATATTAGTGGTATAGGATCGATTAATATTAACCTTAATATCATAAAAATTGGATGGGCTTCAAAAAAAAGATCAATCTCAAACTTTTCACTTTTACTCTTATAATTGGTTACAATAAATTTGTAATGATTAGGCTTATAAATTAACGATTTCGTTTATTATCCATTTATATTTATTTTACAAATAAATAATTTAAGCCAAATTCCGCTGGGTCATTATCTGTCGATACTGATGACATTATCATAGAAAAGGAGATAGGGATAGGTGATCAAGATATAACTAGAGAAAATATTTGGGCATCAAGCCAGGCTCAAAAAGGTGGGAATTTTTCCGAACACGATTATCGTCCCAATGTTTTAAACCTTTATAAAAACGTCGAAAACTTAAAATCTAGCATAAGTTCGCTATTGCCCCCCGAAATCCAAGAACAAAAAAGGCCAAAAAAACGGAAAAGTAGCCTCCCTATCAAATTCTCGCAAACGTAAAACAACTGTTTTTCTTAAATGATCAATCTACCTTAAGGGTGACCCCCCTCCACCTCTTTACATTCAAATATAATTTTAAATAATTATTTTTTAGGTAATAAAATAGGGTTTGTTATAATAGATAGAATTTAGAAACGACGATTTGTATATAATTAAAGTTTCTAATAACTAATTTATTTTCCCATCGTATCTTATAATTATTAAATATGATCTCAAGGAGCCTGATTTTTATTACTAATGTGGAGAAATGCAATAATTTTTTTGTGAAGTTATGTGGTCTGACTCATATTAGAGTATTAATTATTTGACATTTTTATTTGTTCCACTTACACGAATTGCATTTTCGCCTATTTACTTATAAATAAATGTGGCGTATTTAAATCTTATTATGGTGTATTGTAGTATAATATGTATATGGAAAATTCATATTTATTATTTAGTCCTAAAGTATGACTTCTTGTATTATCGATATATATTTTTTGATTTATAAAACTTATGAACTATATTATGTTGAAATTTTTTAAAAATATAATTACTAATATTTGTAAAACACTCAAGACAAGTTTTTGGTCTAAAAATAAATCAAATCCGCGACCAATAGGACATAGGTTTATATGCCTCGTTTTGATTTTTAATAATATAACAGATTCTGTAAAAAAAATTATTTTTTATACCCAAAATAACAAATGTATAAAATTTTTAACTAGTAAAAATAAAAGATATATGTTAGTCAACCAAATTAATCGACTAATAAGGTCACTCTAGTTTTTGATCGGGTTACTCGAGACTTTTAGACGTAGTTGGAAAAACCCGAATAATTAAAACGCCAACGAATATTCTATAAAATATAGTTTACTGTCACAAGCAAACTCATGTTATCTAACATTTTTAATCAAGTTTATTCAATTTTAGAAAAGGTATATTTATATAATATAAAACGAAACCTGGCTATTACGCTACCTTATACTTATCCTAAATGGTTGATCGATTTTAAAAATTGAATGAATTAGGTGTGATGTGCAATATTTAAGCTAGGAATGTAAAAAAAAATTGCGTTATATCATTTATAGAAATTGTTAATAGCAATATTATGCACAAATATGCTCATTTGTATTACAAATTGATTACTGTCATTATTGTTATAAATATATAAATAATTTAAATTATGTTTCATTTTATTAGATTTTGCATTGTTTAAAGAAAATCTTAATGGTCCGTCCATTATTTATTTTAGTGTCTGATAATATAGTCGGATTCGTAATTTGATTTTTTATATATATATTAAAATATTCCTTTTATAATCTTAAATTTTGAGTAAAATCATATTCAATTGTGGGTATTATGGCTTGAACGAATTTCAAAAATATCACGAGATACCTAATTAAAATTATTTTTAAAATAATTGATATATAACGTCGATCAACATGATTATTTAAAACAACGCCCAAATTTTATAAAAATGCATATACACATTATTTTAAATATGAACTAGCCCTAACTTATCTCGTTAACCTCTAAAAGCCTACCCTCTTTCCTATGCTAAAGCAGCCATAACCTAGGAATTAAACCCTAGCATTCTAGATAATCCATGTTTGTAATTGAGCCCAAAAAAAGATTTTTTGATTATAATAATTTACGATTTCATATTTCCGAAAAACTATAAAACGTTCGATGCAATGCATCATAAACAAAAAATAATATATTTTTATATTACTTATGAACTCCTATATCTTTACCACCTTGAGCGCAAGTTTCGATAATTTTTTTCATCACTTCAGCATGTCTAAAAAAATAAACCATATTTTTTGTAAACAATTGTTTAAATAAATTTCTAGCTCCACTTTTGGTTAAAAATGGGTTGTAGTCACAAAGTAGTTAGAATCTATAATAATAAAGTTGCGATTAAAATGGCCATAAGAAACAATAGGAGTATAACTTTCTTATAGGCCATGAATGGGTTTCTTTAAAGGCCACAATATTCCTTTCTGAGGTAGGGCAAGTGTTGACTTGAACATTACATTTAAAAAATTAATTTTTTATGTTTCTGAGGGTTTTGTAAATTTAATTACAGATTTATAGAATATTCATCTCCCCAAATTTTATTAAAAATTAGTCACATTAATTATTCAAGAAAATAAAAAAACTAATTTGTGATTTTCCTTATATAAGTAAATATAAAAGTTTTAACTTGCAGGGATGAATGGATGCCATAGGCGGGCCTGATAAATGTGGATGATTTTCCATGGTTATCGTCTTTTTAACGTGATCAGCGCTAAAATCATTGTACATTTGATTTACAGATAAAGGCATCTTATTCTTTTATTATATTTTTTTTATAAATATTGATTAATATTTTTAGTTATACAATCAATTTTATCCGCCAAAATGAGATTAAGGGATGGAGTTAGTGTTGTTAAAAGGATTCGATTTTTGAAAATGGCCTGATTAAAATTTTAGCCTAAATAATATTATGTAAGCCTCGAGATTTGCCAAATACAAGCACAAACCTTTTTCCCACCTATGAACAAAATTCCATAATATTATTTTGACTAAAATCTTAATCCGGACGTTTTTAAAAACCGAGCCGTTTAACAACACTAGATAGGATAATATTTTGGCAAATAAAATATTTTATTACAATTTCTATCAAACATGAAATACAGTCTTATTCATAATTTTCTTATATAAATTGTACAAATAAAATATATTGGCTCTGCTTGTTTTTAGCTGAGAAATTTTGAATTTTTTGCTAAAATCTTTATTTTCATTAAATATTTATTAAATTAAAATTATTTGGATACAAAGATTATTTATTCATAATTTATACGTTTGAAAATTTTCTGCTATATTAAAACGAGGTTAGCCAATATAATATTTTTTTACTTTACTAGATTATTTTGCCCTACCACCACTAAGTGGCTAAGGCTATTTTGTGGAGTTTGGAGGTTACGTTTTGGCAAATATAATATATATTATAGGGTATTTGAAATATTATTAAATAAATATCTATTAAAATAATTGCAAAACATTTATTATTCATATAGACGAACATATTTAAAAATTTTAATGGTCCGGACCGAAAATATCTGACCGGAGACCGAACAGAACTGAAGAATTTTTCTAAATTAGTCCATATTTTCGGTCCGGATTGTTGACATTAGCTAATTTTTATTTTACTTTTAAAATATAAAGATTATAGATCAAATCAAAAATATAAAAAACTCTGCTGAACCAATATAAAATTCCGAACCTTAATCAACTTATCTATTTGTTTAATTAAAATCGTAGCGGGGAAAAATTATATTCTAAAATTTTAAGTTAAGAACCGGAATGAATCTGGGCGTAATTAACGGTTGGACTCACCTAGTTTTTTTATTGAGATCATTTGTGTTAAATAAACATAATGAAGTAATACTATCAAATAGTGGAATTTGGGAACACTATATATGCGAGTTATATTGTAAATTAATTACGATTGACATTTTGTTTTTGTGATACCTCGTCATATCCAATCAACCATAATCGAGGCGTTTGGTAATATTTGTCATATGTTATGTGTAAATCGTAGGTTCTAGTTTTGGAAATATTTTTATTTTCGTTGTCAGGGTGTTCCAAACTTTTGAGGTCAATGTTGGAAAAATCAAAAGTCATCTATGATAAAAAGGGGTAAATTGAGCGATAAAAGTAAAAGTTAACAAATATAAAGGAATTGCCTCCGTAAAATTGCCATCATATATTATGGCTGCAACACATATCCTTTTGGCATATATTATTGCCAGTGAATTTTTTAGATTTGTTAACTTTAAAATATAATAGTGATATTTTAGAAAAATGAAAATAGATAAGTTATAACTCCATGGTTCAATTCAAAATATAGATAGCCAAAATTGTATCTAAACTAGTGATGTAAAATTCCTGGGAAATTAAGTCTTGAAAAAATTTCCGAAAAGGTGGAGGATGAGAAAAATGCACAACAGAAAATTTAAAATAAATTTTGCTTAGCATATTAATGAAGTATTATAATTTAATTATTAATTTTATGTTATAGAAAATAAGCTTAGACAAAAATTCTTGATAATACTAAATTCCTGATGCATTTGTAAGATGAAGATAATTATCATCTGGTTTAAGAAAATATATAATCTACAAAACATATCTCAGGATCATGGATAAAATCTACACTCATTCCAAATTTATAATGGCTAAATGAGTCTCATCTCATTTTTTTTATCGCATTAAAAAAAATTTAAAGTAATGAACGGGCGTGGGTAGGTGAATTCTTAATATTTTAGGCGAAATGAGCAGAAATTAAAAATATATCAAAATAAATAAAGAGCCAAACCAGCCATTAAATTAATTTTTAATATTAGGAGGGCGGGTTAAACAAGATTTATAGATCGAGCGGGCAGGTAAATTTTAAATAAATTTAAATTGGGAAAAAGGGTGGATTAAAAAATTTCAAAACAACGCGGGCTTTTGACTAAAACCACCCGTCTATTGCAGACCTTTAAGCTAAAGGATATTTAAATTAATTATTGTTTATTTTGGTTCGTCTTTAAAACTTATTTCTAATTAAACCAGATTACACATATTTTCAACTAGGAAATTCTATTTTAGTTCTAAGTTTTTGGATTAAATCATTATTTATTTTAATATATTTTTTTTCGGTAATAATAAATGATCTTTTAGGTAAATCTAAATAGCCTTTCTTTTTAGGATATTTAGAGAAAGCTACATAATCGGCGAAATGGACGACTGTTTAGAAATAAAACGAGCCAGTATACAGCGTTTTTAAATGTAAAATTATAAAGAATATTCATATAATTTCCTCTTAATTTATTAAAGAAATAAGCAAGTTTATATCTGGTTCCCCAATGTTTATTTTTAAGGTAAACAAACAAAATATTTATCGTATATTGACCAATGACATATAATACCTAGACTGACGATGCAATCATAGTGTACATAAATGAAAAACAGCTGAGGACGATATCATGGTTATGGGTAGCATATATAAAAAAATTAAAATTTTAATCTAAGTGATATAAATTAATATTCTATCTCACAATTATTCCAAGAATATTCTCACATTACCAAAATGACTGGGCACGTGGTCTCCAGCTGATTTGCATTCAACGATCTTTTAAAATGCATTATTATGAATGAATCTAGGTATAAATTATATGTCATTGATAATGGTATGTTTTTTTCTTTTATTTATTAAAAAGAAGAAGCGATTTTCAATTTGCTTCCTGAATGTATTTTTTTTAAACATAGCAAAAATGGTAACTACATTTTAATGAAATAAAATATTAAATTTATTTGATAATCTTTTAAATGGATGTTTCATCATTGGCATAATGATTTTTGTCTGAGCAAACTTGCATTAACATTTTTGTCATAAATCATATCAAGTTGCATGATAGATAAAGTTAACCATTTAAAGAATTATTACTGGCAATATTTGTAAATTTACCAAACTTTATATAAGGTTAAACAATTTAAATCCATTAAATTTCGATCAAAACAATTAAGAACACTTAAATAAAAACTTAGTTACTCTATTATTTGCACAAAATACTTTAATAACCTGATCATCATCTTGAATATCATCATATATCTTTTGAGGCTCGTTTTGTATTTGAACATTTGCTGCTATACCCATTATCTTATCTTTGCTATCCGTTTTTGTATCCTTTTTGCTCAGATTATGTAAATAGGCCTCCATATCTCCAGCCTCGTCACTTTCACTTCTATCCGACTCATGATGAGTTTCTGATAAAGATCTGCTAAGTAATAAATCCTCATTGGCGATATCAATACCTTGATGGGTATTGTTTCTCCCTTTAGTGGATTTGTTAGATTCTGTATCTAGGTGATTAAGTGGCATATAAAAAATATGTAATTTTCTTAGAAAAAGATGAAACTTATCCATGACTCATAATCAATAAAAAAAATATCATAATTTTTTTAAATGACATATTATTAGGGTATCTTATACAAACAATTGTATAAATAAGTACCCAAAAATATATTTAAAAATAACTGTGAATCATGAATTTAGAATTGTTTGGAACTAGCTTAAATCTTTACAACATTATTATAATCTTCATATTGGCTAACATAATTTAACTTTAAAAAACTTTTGAAAATGGGGACATTTAATAAGAGCCCCAACAAAAATTATCTTAAATAAATGTTAGACCTTGTATATAAATTTAAAATTATTTTTTAGGGAGAGAAAAGGAGTGGGAGAGGGGGAGTTGGGGAATAATTTTTATTAAATTAAAATTATATTTATTAAAACTATATCAAATTTGTAAATTAGGAGGAAATCCCCACTTGACAATGTCTATGTTAATATGCAAATTAAATATTATTGTAAAAAATTAAATTATTAATTTAAAATATCTTCCTATTTAAATATAATTCCTCATGTTTAATAAATGATATATGTAAATATTTTCTAATTCAATAAGAAAAAATTTAAAAAATAAATTAAATATAAAATGCAAGGAAATTATTAATTGATATTTTACTAAAAATGCAAATGCTTTTTAAAGTAATTTATTGAATAATTTATATATCTAAAAATGGTACTATTATTTTATATAAAAAATAAAAGTTCATACCACTATGATATATTGCTTCAATCCAGCCTTGATCTGCATTATCATCATCTAGAATTCTGATTTTTTCAATCATATTTTTAGCTGAAAATTTTTTCATGTCATAGCATGGAACTATATCATATATTTTAAAGAAAAATATTAATATTTTATAAATTTAAAATATATAATATTTTGTGGCATATTAAATCTAAATTTTCAAAGCATTATGTTTCTAAGGTGTTTAATATTAATACCATTCCTTGTTATTATATATTGCTTATTAGGTGGTAAATATGATTTCAACTTTGAGGTCTCACCACTGGCCCAAGACCAGGTTGGGCAATGATGTGTTAAATGATCTCCAGCAATCATAAACTTTAAAAAAGAATAAAGTAAGAATTAACATTTTTATAAAAACTTCTTCTGGTGTTATTACTCCAGTTGCTTTAAATTTTGATTCCTAAAATTAATTATTAAATCAATTAATGTAATTTAAATAAAAACTTTAAGAACAGGTGTTAAAAAATCAGCGATTTCTAAGGCTTTCCCTTTAACAGTGTTATATACATCTTGCATTATTTATAAATATTGAAAATAAGACCTAACTATACAATTGTTAAACAGCTGTAAATTATTTATTAAAAATAATTTGTTTAGTATCATGCTAATGTTTCTTGCTTGTAACTATAATTTTTCTTATAATTAGTTTGAAATTCAATTAATTTAGTTGTGTTTAATATATTATATTATAATGATATTGGAAGTAAATTTTATCCTATCGAATAATTCATTTTGTCATCTTGTATGTATATATTAAATAAAAACATTTATTAAAATGTATAGATTGTTTATTACTTGATGCATTTTTAATTTTATAATTTGAGAAATTGGAAGTAAATTTTATCCTATCGAATAATTCATTTTGTCATCTTGTATGTATATATTAAATAAAAACATTTATTAAAATGTATAGATTGTTTATTACTTGATGCATTTTTAATTTTATAATTTGAGAAAATAATTTCTTTATCCTTAAGATTTATTGGTATTATTATCATAAGTTGGATATTTCATTTTGACTTATTACACTTATTGATGATTTCATTTAAGATAACTTTTCCTTTTTTATATATATATTTGTTTTCTTATAAACTTTATCTTTTTGTTTGTCTACCATTATATGTGTATCTAAACTATTTCTCAAATCTACTATCGAAACAGGGGCGGACTGGCCATATGACCAGTTGGACATTTTGCCCACGAGGCCGCTATAAAATGTCAATTTATGAGGCCGATTAAAAAAAAATATTATTATGTTCACATTTTTTGTAACTTATCTCTTATGTATTTTTATAACTTAATCTTTATTCCGTTTTGCTATAAAGATTTTTTTTTAGACACATTTAAATTTTTTATTTTTCTATTTTCGATAAAAACAAAATAATTACAAGTCTATACAAAAAAGTTAATAAACCCAATACAAAAAAAATCAATATATTATATATATAAAAATAATATCGCAACAAAAATACATCAATGTTACAATAATAATAAATAAAATGCAACCTTAACCGCGTACAATTAATAATTTAAAAAAAACATATAACTCTTCTCACTACAACATGTTATCCCCCCCCCCCCCAAAAAAAACAACTATTGTTTACTCATATTATCCTGAATATGTCCCACACTACTCTTGCTCCAACAATAACTCCTCCAAATCTTCTATTAGGTCCTCCGTGCCTCGTCTCTCATCATTGCAACCATATTGCCCCTTTTGTCTGGTATAGCTGGTACCGGATACACACTCACCGGGGTCTCGCTTGTGATCGCCATTATTGGCCTTATTCGCTTCTCTGTAGCCATTCCCTTTCTTCTGGTCAAACCCATTGTATTTGGATGGCCGACTCCCCTTACCGTACTTGAACACGGATCATCTCGAACACTTCCCTCAGCCTAACATCGTCCAGTCACTTCCCTTCTATGCATCACATAGGATTTCTCCATAATGGAAATGGGAGGTGATCTTGCACGGACAAATGAGTTTCAGTTCCCCCTCGATTCTTTGCCAAAAGTCGCCACAGACAATGCCTTGAAATATGTCCAACACCGCCACACCCATAACACGTTATCCTCCCTACGTTTCTCCAGCTGAATCTTTCTCTTGACCCCTGAATCGACTCCATCAGTTCATCTTCACTCTGTTCATTCACCAATGTAGCACCTTGTTGCATCTTCCCTTCTTCATTCCATACCACACCCATATTACTATCGCTCTTCACCAAGTTCACCTCCATTATCATCTCACCTTTTCTTTTAATATACTAGGTCTCCATTGCAAGTTTCAATTAAAAAATTTTTTTATTGATCAATTCTATTCAAAATTTATTTAATGCTTACAAATTCAATTAATTTACCAAAAAAAATTATTTTAAAAAAGAACAAAAAAAAATTTATTTAATCACGATTACAAAAAAAAAAATTTTGCACGATTTTTTAACAACTTCCTTTCCATCATACTAAATATTTAATTATTTTTTTTTATTACACTTCTTTTTCTACATACCCCAAATTTATTTTCCTCCAACTTTCACAACACCAACTGCCTATTCCATATATTCTAAAAATTTTTAATATTCTATACGGTTTAATTTATTACTCTTTTTTTAAAAAAAAATTCTCGTTATTTTAATACGCATATTATATTCCCAGTAAGCTACGCCAAAACATTTTCCATCTAACCCATATTTCATACACAACCTTGCCTTCAAAACATTATATTTAACCTCGTATTATTTTTTCATATTCCAACACTATAACATATACAAATTACTGCCCCATTTTTATTTTTACAAAAAAAAAGATCAAATACTTCTTCCATAAATAATTACCCACAAATGTTACGCAATATTTCACGCAAAATCATTTTATTTAATTACCCCAAATCAATTTCAAAAATTGCTTTCCTTATTTATGGGGAACATTATAACCTTGCTTTGTGTTTCCTTCAATTTCGCTTTTCCTTTATTTAACCATTACTCAAAATATTTCACATAATTTCCTTGATTTTAATTAAATCAGGGATTTAGGCGTTTAACTTTATCCTCGCGTAACAATACTCCCTAAACGTATACGTTATTGCATATCTTGGTCACATATACATATATGGCTGGCCAAAACGCACGTACTAACTATCCCATCTTACGCCACTACACTACCGTATCATCTCAATTAGCACATATTGCATCTTTACTATAATTTTCATGTTCACATTATCTAAAAATAAATTCCACGGTACTTTTCTTAAATAATAATTTTTTTCTTTTAGCAATTTTCTCTATAAACTATTTCTATACGAATCTCTTCCATAATTGATCTCTAAGCCTGACTCTTTCACTGTTATCATCAGATTTTACCCTATTTAATTTGTTTCTCAAATTTTCTATTACTACACTTTCTCCCATTTTTTTGAACTTCCATATAATCTAATCCATACTAATTGTCCAACCGTATATTCCAATTCCCTTCTATCGATATCCTCTATAATTACAGCCGTTTTACTAGGTACTAACATATCCAAAAACATCCTTACCTTCCGGCCTATCATTTTTTTTGCCGGGGACAAACCATCTTTTCCCATTGCATTATTATAATACAAATGCTTCACCCATATTTTTCTTTTTCCACTTTTTGTCTTCCTCAACGATTCTTTAACCGTCGCTACCATCCGTTCCTCCGTATCATCCCAGAGACATGATATACACCTGTTCTCTCATAGAACCTCTTGAATTCCTCATCGATAAAAGCTGGTCCTCCATCCGATACAACAGTTTTCGGAATACCAAACTCGACCATACTTTTTTAACATGTTTAATCACAATATTCGCAGTTAACCCATGCATTTCTTCAAATTCCATTCATTTAGAGAATGCATCTACACTCAATATATACCTTTTCCCTTCATATTCGATAAAATCAACATGAATTCCCTCCCCTGGTTCTATAACTTTTGGCCATGTACCATTTTTATTCTTACAGGGCATGTCGGACCATGCATTGCAAATCTCATATTCCTTTCCAAACTTATCCTCGTTCATTTTCGGTCACCATACGTATTCTCTTCTCCATTGCTTCATAAGCGTAACTCTTTGATAACCCGCAAACATTCAAAAGTTTTCCCTTCACCGCCGGGGTATAACGGCTCGGTGTCCCCTCATGGCACAATCATCCACTACCGTTAATTCTGTTTCAATATTTTTAAAACTTTATCATCATCTTTCCCTGACCTTTTCCCATTAGACTTAATTTAACTACCGCTAATTCTCTATCTTTCCTTGTATAATTTTATATATCTTCCCATGTCGTTAGGCTACTTTTTATACGTGCCAGACATTCTTCTCGATTATCACTTTTCAATAAAACAGATTCATCCATATTTTAACCCGCTCCTAATTTCGATAAAATATCAGGTAATTGATTCTCCTTTCCCTTTCGATATTTTAAGTCCAAATCAAAACTTCCTACTAACAACAACCATCGCTGAAGTCGAGGCGACAACATCAATTCTTTATTATCTTTTTTAAATAAATGTATTAATGGCTTATGATCTGTAAAAACAACAAACTTCCTACCTATAAGGTATTCGCGTCACTTTGTTAACCCAAAAATAACAGTCAATGTTTCTTGTTCTATCACGGAATATCATTTTTTTACCTCTCTAAATACTCTCGAGAAAAATAAAACAGGTCTTTCTATCCCATCTATTAGATGCAACACCGCCCCACCTACTCCTATATTACATGTCTATAGCCAAAAATTATTTCCAAATCACTATGAAAAACCAGAATTGGCTCTTCTCCAATTCTCTCCTTTAATGTTCTGAACGCAATCTCTTGTTCCTCTTCCCATTCAAAATGTACTACTTTCCTTAATAATTCATATAAAGGAGCAGCTACTTCCGCAGAATTCGATATAAATCTATGGTAATAATTCACCATTCCCACAAACGACTGTACCTCTACCTTACTGGTCGGCCTATCAAATTCGCAATAATCAACAAATTTTTATCCAACGGTTTCACTTCCATTTCATTAATTTTATGACCCAAATATGTCACTTCAGTTATTCCCAACACACTCTTTTCACGACTAGCCTTTAATCCTTTATTTCGAATTCTAATAAACACTTCTTCCAACCTCTCATAATGCTGTTTCATTGTTATCCCAACAACCAAAACATCATCCATATAATAAAAAACATTCTCTAGACCTTGGAAGCAGCCATTGTAGGCTGAGAAATAGGGGCTAACCCAAACGGTAACCGACAAAAAGTAAACAATCCCTTAAAAGTCGTAATCGTGAACTACTTCCGAGTCGTTTTTGCCATCGGTAATTGCAAATATGTGCACGAAAAATCAATCTTTGAAAAATATTTTCTTCCTTTCAAACTGGCCAAAACTTATTCTATTCGCGGTAACGGGTATTTCACCTCTACAACCCAAGGATTCAATGTCACCCTAATATCTGCACACAACCTCAACTTTCCATTGGCCTTTCGCACCGGAATCAACGGAGTTGCCTATTCAATGTAACTAATAGGACAAATAATTCCTTCTCGCA